TATGGCCATAAAAGTTTCTGTGTTATCCGGTACTTTTATTGGTGTGAAGCATGCATCGTTAGCGGTCCGAACAACAACGGGATTAATGTGAGGATTTGAATTACTAACCTCTTTTGTTTTGTTCGTGCCGCCGCTGCTAATGGGTGTAGAGGTTGTCAACATATTTTCGAGATTTGCATGATTTTTCGGCTCTTTTGGTCGGCAATCGTTCATGCGTAATATTTGGTTTTCCACAGCTTGGATTTTATGGTTGAGTTTCGATTCCAAAACAACCAAGTCTAATTTCAAACCCTCCAAGTCTGGTGATAGCTTCGAACATTCACAACCCGTACACTGGTGTTTTGTTGGTTGGTTTTCGTTTAAGGAGTTCTCGGTGTTAGTAGCCATGTCCACACCAGACTTAATACTATCGAGGTTTAAACTCGTAAACATAGCGTTGATCATACAACGTTTGATTCGATTTGCATCCTCTCCATTGATCTTTAGGAACTTTTTGTTTTTCCACCAAAGCAACTCAACGTTGTCTGACACGAAAAGTTTTTTCTCGTTCGCCGGGGATGACCAGCTTCCCTGCAACTCTAGGTCACTCTTTACAAACTCCTTCAAACGATCAAAGTCGCCAGCCCAGGATAGTCTTAAATTCGCTGACATATCGAGTCGAGTCTTAACTATGAAGCTGTCTTTACAACAAATATGAGTCTGTCTTTATAACAAATAACAATCATATACTTCAAAACCGTTGATATTTCTTCTGGAATTCTTAAATCTTAATTTCGGCTTCAAGGATAGGAAACAAGATGAAGAACACAACGGCAGTATTGCCAGTAAATAACGCGTTTATCATGGAAAATTAAATAACTATATTCTTGCACGTGTGACCATACTATCGAACGAACGTTGGATTTATTTGCTGATCAAAGTTATGACAATCTGTCTCAAATTGTTTGGTTGTTGATCTAACTTAATTCCCTATGGCTATGGGACATGGAATACTGCGAAGCAATTCTTAATTAAAAGAGCCATCTTTTTCGAAATTTTGTTGCTTTTCAAATGATAATAAAACAAATAAATAAATAAGGAAAATCATTCGTTACACGTTTCAATTCAAATTAAATTCATACAAGCGAATATGTCTGACGAAATTCTAAAATTTATCAAAACAGTTTAATAGGCCATTTTTAGCCAATTTGTCTGATTTTCAAAACTTCGTTCCAAATTTTATTTGGCGATATCCCAGTCAATATTGCACGTAAATAAACATGCTATAGCTCAAAATTTAAGTTAGACTTTTATGAATACAGCTACGTTTATTTCAGCGATGTAACACTTATAGTTTTTTCGCTGTACTAAATCAAACGCGTGAACTTTTTTTTGCGCCACCCGGTATATATATATATATATATATATATATATATATATATATATATATATATATATATATATATATATATATATATATGTGTATATATATATATATATATATATATATATATATATATATATATATATATATATATATATATATATATATATATATATATATAATGTTAATTTACATAAACTTTAGCTTTGATTTTCTCGGTTTAGACAAAGTTTATTTTAAAAATTACTTCGCCAATGAACTCGTATAAGATGAGTCGTTTTTTAAGCCATTTAAGCATTTGTAGTCGTGTTTTATCACATATATATAAAACACTCCTACGCGTGCTTTAAATAGTACATATATATATATATATATATATATATATATATATATATATATATATATATATATATATATATATATATATATATATATATATATATATATATATATATATATATATATATATATATATATATATATATATATATATATATTCTATTAACTAATATAAATCTATTAACTACCAAATTTTTGCGGTTTTTTAAAAAAAAATTAAAAATATTGTATTGCAATGACGACACTTAAAACGCAAAGCGTGCCTGGACTCTATGTAGACAATTACTAATAGTTCAAGTTAGATGAATGTTGGATGTATGTTTTTCTAGTAAATAAAGCATATTTTATACCTTTTTACTACACTGTTGCCCGACTCAGGATTAAAAATTATAATCAAATTCGGTTTTAACCAGATCACCAACCCGTTGGTAACATCTCTGTATGCATACGATAACAGTTTTTGATCTGAATCTTCAGTTGTGTTCATCCACAAACATGCAGCAAGGGAAGTCAGCGACTCTGAAGCTCCATTAAAAATACCGAACTCCTCGATATTGTTACCACGGAAACGTAAGGCGTCAACACCTGAAAGCACAAACATTAATAATTGTAAGGAATAATATATAATAATAATGACTTAAACCCACATTATATATATCTTGTTGCATGGATTGACATATAATCCGGTCAAATATTTTAATTCCGATTAAAAAGCATTTTTAATTATTCCGATTAAAAGTTTTTAAAAATGGTGAACTAAGTGAAGAAATAGTATACCTAAACAACAAATTTCTTCACCTCTTTATCGTTATGTAACCAAGAATTTCGAAAATACTTTTCGAATTGGAGATTCTGCAAGCGAAAAATCCAGTTTGAGCCAATAGTCAAGCACTATAATTATAATTTCTACTATGATTACTATTACACCGCAAATATTTGGTTAAAATTGATTGCATGTCAGGTATACACTATTCAGGATGAAATCGAATTTAAATAATCTCTTTAACAGTCGAAATTGTTAAATTAAGTCCAAATGTGCAATCCCAATTGTGTATTTTCTGTTATTTACGACATTTAAGCGTCAAAAATTTCGCGACAAAATACTTTATTTTTTGCCCTACCCTTGTCGTCACAGTAGAAGCAAATGTATCACCTACGTCACGGTAGGTAGGCACACACTAAAGAGGTTGAGAAAACAGGGGTAAATAGCTTAAAGTATTCTTGAATTTCAACAGTTCTGCTTGGAATATTAACAAACATTGTGCATATATTTTAAAAATTCGCCTGTCACTTTCATGTTCAAAACTACGAGCAAAGTTGAGAAAACTTAAAAATTTTACCGCATGTGTCAGCAGTTTCCAAGAGTCTTTGTTTGTGTGTAATCCAGAACCAAAACTAGGCCATTTTGATAAGCTTTTTCCCTTTAAATGCAGCTTTTAATACTTAAAAACGGCCATTGACTCTCGCGCCCTTCGCCGCTTGTTGCTACTAGTAGGCTATCACTAATAGCCTACTAGTAGCGTAGCCAATCAGAACGCACGATATATGATAGCCTACTAGTAGGTTTATACTAATTGTCTATAGATAGAGAATTAGTCGATAGCTGGAATTGTCTGTTGCAAAATCAAATCTACTGTGACGTGACGAGGCATTCGATTCAAGTCATGGCGGCAAGGATATGCAAATTAGACAAATGAATGTTTTTTTCCGATCCTTTGCGAAGAGAAATCCATCGAAATTGACGCAAAACAAATAATTTACAGTCAAAGCATTTATTTCCAAGGATTGAAATGCATCTAATAAGCAAAAATGGAAGGGATCTATTAAAAGTATGCAAGTGCATCAAATTTCTCCATATTTTTACAGTGTAGTACATTGTTTAGTTCAAGGAGTGTATAAAGTGGAAAATGGTCTCCACAGTTAATGTAGATTTGTATCTAATAACAAAGTAATTATACAGTTTGTGTCTGTTACTGTTGTTGTTCAATGCTCTATAATAAGAGACCAGGAAGATGTCAGTGGTGGAGAAGGGGAGTTGGATAAGGTAGTTCAACATTTTTATAAAGGTTTGCTTGCGTGGAAGCAAACCTGCCCCAAATATCTACCTTTGATACCTTGCTTTACTAAAGCAAATTTCCTTTCTGTCTACATGGGATTATAGCCTGTGCTCAGACCTTCCTTTTTCGTGAAGCTGGCGGGCGAAGAAAAATGAAAACCTGACACACATGTTATTAAAAGTTTGTATTTTACAACTGCCGTTATGGTTGTAGCTCTGATTGGTTATTTTTAGCAAGAGTATTTATGCCATATTTAACTGATGAACAGTAATGTTTTGATTGGTTAATGCTAATTAACAGTCTTATATTTCTAGTGGTTGTAACTATATTTAGCTTATTGTTGCTATAATGAAATTGGGATTTTTCTTTGGACATTTCTAAAACTAAAATAAAACTATAGTGTGGGTGAAAAGTAACCATCAGTGGATCTAGACTTGTATCTGGTTCTCTGTGTAATACAGAGCAATGCAGTTGCAGATTAATGAATGATATTTCTAATAATGATTAATGATGCAACATTGGTTAAAGATCTTACAGACTTAGGGAGAGTTTACATGAATTAAGATCATTTGTTCAATCTAGCTCCTAATACATGGTATATTTAGCTCTTAATACATTTTAATTTAATTTTATATGGGAATAAGCTGACATGCCTCCTGACAGGGTTCTTGTTTTCCATTGCTTGAGCTATTGGGCAATTATTTATGGAACACTGGATAAATTATAAACAAAGACGAGTACCTGGGATCGCTTGCCTACCTAAGTTGTGTGTTTATATGCTTTGTCTGTGCAAATATAATTTGTACAATGATAAACCACATGCGGCCAAATCACTGCATCAATGGTCTATATATTTTGAATATTTGTACAGAATACTTAACCGCTACAAAATTTAAGAACGAAATAATCCAAAAAATATTAAACATTAGCATAACCTTTGCATATCAAATTAACTTTGTCGCGTTCTGATTGGCTGGTAAACCTGACGCACTTTTACCAGCAGACTACTAAATAATGCTTTTCAAAATGAATAATTCGGCAAATTATTGAAAAATATTGAAAAAATCGTCCACAGTAAACGAAAGAAGTTCAAAAATATTGTATTTAACTTGAAAGGTAGGATTCCTTTATTATTTTACTGTGTCAAACATATTCACGGACAATTATTTAAAACTACGAAACATTCACTTCAAACAATTAATAGCAAAAATATCGACTGTTTGGAAAATACCTTGCCGTGATATTCTTTTAAATCCATTTTGTTTTGTATTCGGGCTATAAATTTCTCAATTTGTACGATGCTATTCCTTTTGATATGATGTCATGTTTTTATTGTGCTGTATGGTATTTTGACCGCTATATTGTGTTTTCGAAATTTGTAAAGCGAAAAGTGTGATTACAACTTTACTTCGAACGATATAGTTTTAATTATATTTCATTTTACAAAATTTCTCAGCCATTTCCTGAGAAAATTAATTCTAAATAGATACTATGTTTTAAATAATCGTAAAATATAGGGCAAGGTTGCTTTGAATGTTTAATGTTCATAAACTCACGAAGACCGAAGTGAAAATGCCCAACAATTTCATTAAGCAGAAGCAAATAAGTTTGTCGAAAAAGCATGTTGAATGAACATTCCAAAGCAACATGTTGGTCAAATTTACCAAAATTTCTCCAACTCGTGCGGGCTCGTGTTGTCAGCGGACATCTTACAGAAAGTGCCCAGTTCTTTGAAAAATAAAAATGTTTCAATTTTTCACCCAAACTGGCTGAAAATGCGAGCCTAAGGTACTGGGAGAAAATTTGCTGAATATGACTAGCGTGGAACTATAAAGAGCGTTTCATATTAAGTTTTACGTAATTAAATCAAAGCGAACAAAATATAAAATAACATACCTACAGTATATACAGTATTTCGAAAATTCATTGTTGCATGGAGAAAAGTGCTAGTCTTTGTTTGAACTATTTTTCCGTTTTGCAAAATTAAGCAAAATAAATATTTAAAAATATCGCGTTGTCATGAAAACACCTGACGCCAAAAGGCCAGCCGCTGTTCAGTGTTTTGGCCAATTACGAATACTTCTTATTAAGTCAATGATGATTGGAAAATATAGGCGAGGGTTGCTGCATAGCTAACGATGGCGGATAAATAACCCGTATGTTTTATTTACTTACACGTTTTATTACAATATTTCCCTGTATAAGAGCGAGAACAATTACAAAACGATGTTTTATTTCCACATCCACCAACACATCTTCCGCCATTTAAGCATGCCAAATCAGGACAGTTGAGCTTTGTTGAATCCTGTGTGAAAATTTAACTATATTTTAATAAATTATACAGTATTACAAGGGACTGTCGTGATCTTCTATTGGTTCTCGATCCCCGAAAAAATACTAAAGTAGATCATTTTATCCGAAATACCGAGAAGTAGTAAATCGATTCCCGGTTCCCTGGTAAAAATCGTGAAATATAGTGAAGATTAAAAATTTCGACGCTTCGAAAAAAAGGCGAGTCTTTTGATACTGTATTTCATTTCAATTATAACGTCGCATGAACATATTTTTAATATTTGTTGAAAAATCAAAGGATGATGTACTTATTGAATACCAAGTATCAACGTTTATGTTTTCTTGCATTGCATTGCGTTGCGTTGCTTTGCTTTGCTTTGCATTGCGTCGCATCGCATTGCATTACATTGCATGGCACAAGAGCGTATCACCGGACAGTCATGAAATTCGGCTGATTTTCGCAACAGATCTTCTCATCAGTAGATATTACTTTTTTTGCAGGTGAGTTATAAAATTGTCGTGTTGTAAACCAAAACTTGTCGATGTTTCTATGTCTTTTCTGGTTATTTGGCACACAATTTGTTTTTGGCAACCCCGCCTGCAAATATCACTGCCGAGACCCAGTCTCATGCATGCTTAAAAAACATACTGTTTCGCTCAGTCCCAGTCAAATAAGGTGTTCAATGATAGGTGTCCATATTCACTCTATTTTCCCCTTTGAAACTCTTAACTACTTTAATATAATCACCAATTTTTCAGTTCAATTTATACTATACTATACTATACTATACTATACTATACTATACCATGCCATGCCATGCCATGCCATGCCATGCCATGCCATGCCATGCCATGCCATGCCATGCCATGCCATGCCATGCCATGCCATGCCATGCCATGCCATGCCATGCCATACCATACCATACCATACCATACTATACTATACTATACTATACTATACTATACTATACTATACTATACTATACTATACTATACTATACTATACTATACTATAGTAAGTTCTGTCTTATTGCTCGAATATCTTTGGTTAAATTTCAAACTAAATATTGTTCACTTCTAAAAGCGTCCAATACAACCAATCCTAGAACGTGAATTTTGAGTCTTTTGCGCAATATATCCAGCCCTCGATCTAGATCATGCGCGTTGAAGGAGACCAAGCCAGGTCTCGCAACTATGGACGATAAGTTTGATACTTTGATATGTTATGTTTTATGGCGTTGTGAACAACTCGCGTGGACGATTTCGTCGTAACCGATAGCTTTGCATGTCAAAATTATTGCGAGACAAGTTACCGATCAAATGTTGCGCAGATTGGAGACAGTTATACTTTTGGCAACAATTGCGTATACTTTTTCAGCATTGCAGGCGCATTGCAGCGTTCGCCATGAGGTAATTTAACTCTGGGCATGTATCCTATAAATGCGTAACCTTCACTTACTCTGTTTGGATGGAGTAATACGTAATGATCATAGTCGATGTCCACTTCTAAATGTCCAGGCTCCTCAGCAGATGTAACATGAAGTAACTCACAGTTTTCCTTCTCGTCGTAAAGAGAGTTTTTCCTGTAATTTACAGATCTGCAACACACATCTTCATTCACACACATCAAGGTGCATTCAATTCCCGATGTAGCATTCAGACGTTTCAAAATATGAGGGTAGTTTAAACGATGACCTGTAAAACGTCAATACATTAAACACTACCAAGATTTAATCAAATTCGTCAAAACGTAAATGATAGTCACTTCATGGTCTAGCTACTATTTTCGATGATGGTTATTAGGAAACATCTGGGTGTGTTGACAAATAATAAATGTTTCTGAGTGCAATAGTCAGAATATTTTCATGATCATGAGGTCATGAAAGATGGAATGTTTTATCCAACGATGCGGCAGGCGAGTTTAAAACATCATACCGTCTTTAACCGAATGAAAGAATTCTTCCATTATATTAACTATATTAGTATAGGTAATGGCATGGTTTCGAGTGCAATTTGGATATAACATGCACAAGTCAGTTTTTCAAAGACCCCAAAATAGTACGAGTCCGAAGGACGAGTGCTATTTGAGGTCTCTGAAAAACCCACGAGTGCATGTTTATCCAAATTTCACGAGAAACCAAGCCATTACCTATTATTCAAACACTCATTAATCATTCATAGGCTTATTGGCAAATCATGTCAACCATAATATGTCACGTGCAGTGGCTTTAAACCTGATAAAATCATAGATATCTTATATACATTAGATAGTGCATGTAATTATTCTGCAATTCAAAAATTGAAGCCGTGATTGCAGACTCAGGTCGTTCCCATGAAATGAGAAGATTCGCATATTTTCTATTTCTTAAACACGGAACTTAAACATGAAGTTAACCCTATGCCAAATACGTTTTTAAACTATTCAAATGATGAAAGTTATTGTTGTTTTTAAGCGTTTATTAGCAAGTGGGAACGACCAACATGGCCGCCATCTATTCAAATGGGGGTAAACGCTGGAATATTATTGGCTTCAATTTTACTAAAAGAGATGCGCTATCTAGTGTATATAAGATATCTATGGATAAAATCCTCTTAGTTAGTATTCTTTATAGTCAAGAATACTATTAAGGCAGTATCTATTGTAGTCGTGTCCTCATTAGTATTCTTTATATAGAGAATACTAATAAGGCAATATATCTATTGAATTTGTAGTCCTGTTTGAAGCCGTTCAATAAACTCGCAGATCCTGTTTTATTAGGTCTAAAGACACTCGCGCTGCGCGCTCGTGGCTTTAAACCTAATAATTATAAAAACACTCCTGCTCGTTTATTAAACAGTACATAATTTACATAAAAATGCTCGAGACAATTATTAATAGTTTTAACTTACGTTTATCGCGAACCGGCTACTGGCAAAATTTTCCTAGCTTTGTTGTATCACATTATACAACGCTAACAGCTTGAAAATTCCACTCAACTATTTAAGTTTTGTTAGTCTTGTTTAAGGTAAAGGGTTTTCCATTCAAGCCATATTTGTTTTGTTTTGAAGCAATCTGTGACCGTTACTTGTCTAAACTAAACTGCTTTAAACTGATTGGTTTATTTTATCATCACATTGTTTTTCCACCAATCAGATCAGTTTGTTACAGATTTTTGCACTGGGATTACAGAAAATTGCACTGTGATTACAAAAAATTGCACTGTGATTACACAAAATTTCAATGTGATAACACAAAATTGCACGGCGGTTTGGGATAAACTGTACTGAAATTAACCAATCACAGTTGAGTAACGTATTCTTATGTACATTATTAATAAAAATATCCATTACTTGCTCCATGTGACAAGTAAAAACATGCACAGTTTCGGAACAATCACAAAAAATTTCCCGAATGTCAAATTCCTGAATGAACAATTAATTTTAACCAAAATACTTTGCAATTTATACCACCAGACTCATCCTTATGTGCCGATTTATCGTCCTCGGTAAGCAAAACAAATATCCGCTAATTTCCCCGCTTTGTGATTGGCAAAATCGACTGCCATAATATTAGCATTACCAGTGAAATAGATGCAAGCACTGTACGATTAGCATTTTGAGTGATTGAATTAAATCTTAATGATCGCAGGTCTACAATATGGAACTTTATATTGCACTGTCATGCAGTAACATGGAAACTGTTATATAATATCCAATAAATTGTATTTTTATGGAACAATTTACCGTCTGATATCAAATCATCTTCGTCAGTCGCCATACTTAAATCTAAACTATATATATATATTACACTAGAAAGCTGAATAGTACTTTTGATGTAGACCGTCCTAGAACATGGAAAACTGTATGCAGTAAATGTCGTTCTTTACATACAATCTGTTGTTCATAGATGTAATTATAATTGTTGCATGTCCTAATGTTTATGTATATAATATGTATTCTTGTAATACCTATAAGTAATTATGTAATGTACGTTTTTGGTGGGACTTAATTAGGGACTCACGTCCTGTTGTCCTTACCTTCGGTCATTTGATTGTAAAGTTAATAAAAAAAAAAATTTAAAAAAATAAAATAAAATAAAATTACGTATTACGTATTAAAATTACGTAAAATTATCAATAAAATTACGATCATTTAATAAGTTAACATTAACTATAGGTACATGCATGCAGCAACCCCACGCTAAATACTTTCCAAAATTTTATTTAACATGACGTATTAGCAACTGGATAACACAAAACACAGGCTCGCGTTACGTGCATGTTGCCGTAGCAACTCGATTTTTAAAAAATTATTTTGTTTATACTTCGATCAGGTTTGTTATTTTGCATTTTATGAGCATTGATTTAATGTAAAATTTAATCTGAAACGCTTCGTAAATTTGTAAAATGTTTTCAATTGTTCATTCAAATAAATTCTTTGCGGAATAAACTTTTTTTAACTTAATAAAACAAATTAGGATGAAATTATTGAATAATTTCAGTAATTATTTAAAGGCAAAGTTCAGCCTTTTGAATGATGGTTTTTAAGGCGCATTTCAGCTCTTTTAATTGAAAAAACTAGCTAAGAAAATCAATTAAGCATAATTCAAGATCAGCAAACTTAGCTAATGTTTTTAACATTTTAAAACATTTGTATTGTTAAAAACATTAAAGTGTTTATGAAACGGCTGAAAAATTTTTCTGAAATTGTGCTGATTTTATAGTTTAAAGTACGCTGAATATCATGCTGTATTTTATTTTCGGCCTGCGATTCTTTAAAGTGGATTTTTTAAGCTACAAAATTCAGCAATTTGGCAATTTTTTGTCCCGGGGTCTGGACCCGAGTGAAAACAGCGCGTGACGTCACTGGTTGTACACACATGTTGACATTCTCAATATAAACAGTAAAGAACATTTGTATTATCGCGCTGTATAAAATATTTTATCGTGATTTCTACTCTTTTACTATGTCGCACAGCGAAGATTCTCTTAGTTACCCTAGCTTAGAGTCTGATAACATAACGGAGAGCAATTTATAAGGAAATATGAATGTAACGAATTGTTTTGAGCCGTATCAAGGGGAACTATTGCCAGTACAGACCACAAGCGGCCCAATCTCAGAATGAATGATCAGGTGTTGCGGGTTTTTTAACGGTTTTTATAAACAAATTTATAGTCAACCAAAACTATTTTAAAAACGTTCTTAAATTAGTCAAATAAATGCATTTTAACGATAAAATACAGTTGACATGATAGTATAATACCTTTGCATTCTTTTAATTACTCCATGAGCTCATTTAGAGCGGTTGATGTAACATTTTCTGTGGCCTACATTGTGTGTGCTCGTCTATATATAATATAACAGTAAAAGGCTAATCACTGGCGGCCCGACCGCCTCGCCTTCAAAGTCAAATATCTCCGCTCAAACTTGTCGTACTCCAAAACAAATTCGATTACATCGTTTCACAAAGATTTCTCTTTCTAAAGAATATGGTTTGATCGTAGTTTGGGCAAATTTAGCGACAAACGGAACCAAAATCTCCTCAAATTCGGATACTGTTCAAAATACTTAGGGCTGCTCGGGCACGATCGTGGACGTGACGTAATCAATACATACTGACAATAACGCCTTGCCGCCTTACGTGGGGTGGGACAGCATCAAGCGACAAACTATCGTCAAATTTGATATGCTGTCCCACCCCGGGTAAGGCGTTATTGTCAGTATGTATTGATTACGTCACGTCCACGATCGTGCCCGAGCAGCACAGGGGGCAGAAAAGTACGATTGTGTTTTATAAATACCTTGTCATCAACGAATATCCCATATTTATATCACAACAATCCGCAGACATAGTCATAAAAGGATCAAAATTAGCTGATTTTTATTTTTTCGATAATATCATGCCTTCTACTTCATGTAATTCAAACATATTGCATTGCAACGACTATTTCCGAACATCTTACGAAAGGATGCCGATGGTGTAACCCGTACATAAATAAGAAAGGGATGAAACGCCGAAAATCTTTCGTTCAATGTGCACCGCAACAACTGGTGACGGAAGTAAATTCGACATTGTAACCGGAAGTAGAACGGAAGTTGAAGGAAAATTGACCTGTCGTCTTCCATGACGTTTTAATCGAATTAACGGTTAATAATTTGAATGACAATAACAAATTTTAAAAAATATTGCGAAATTCAAACTCAAATTAGTCAAATATTAATATGGAACGTTTTGTCAACTAAAAGAAATTCGAATCAATCGATTCAAAAGCAACACACGCTCTTGTATCTAGATGGTATAAAGCTTTTCAATAATTTTAAAACAATTGTTCTTGAATCGATCAACCGTACGTGAAGATATCCACGACTTTGAACTTTGTTTAATATGACTGTATAAATTCAAACGGCAGTCTTTGCAAAACCGGTCACGATTTAAACTCGTCTTCGCCGTGTGTGCAGACTTAAGATATATCAATAGACTATTTAAATTCAAAAATAAACTATACATGCACTTATGGGGCGAAAAAAATGGCAGTAAATTTAAATAAACTCTGAAACGGTTTCGTTAATTCGGTTAATATAGACCTTTTTGTAGTATAAATACCGGTGCATTTTGGCTTGTATTTCGTAGGCTTTGTATGAATTATCAAATAAGTGACAATTCTTTCAATAAGTGACAATTCAATTCAAGGAGAATTCAATTCAGCGACAATTCAATGAGTGACAATTTATATGAGCATATTTATATGAGCGTTATTTTGAAACTGTATACTAATCATAAAAATACTGTATGACCTTGTCATATATTTAATAATATGAATCAGTTGGAAAAATAGTTTTCGTCATGCGCAATATCTTTTAAGTGCGTAACTACGTCACTTCCGTCACCACCTGTTGCGGTGCACGTTGAAACAAAATAAGCCAAAATTGTAGTCCCAAAAATTTCGGTATAATAACCGTTTCTAAAAATTTCCTTGTACAGGTATGCTAAGTGTATCATATCTAAACTGTATACAAAAAATAAAGGGTTTTGGTTCAGAAACACGCCAGTTATATCCATTCGAAATATTTCACGATCGGGGGTTTCATCCCTTTCTATTATTTGTACGTGTAAGCAAAGTCAATCGTTCTAGTATGAGCCCACGCTACTATGGTCAGTCCTTGTAATACAATGTTTGAATTACATGAAGTAGTAGACATGATATTATCGAAAATCAACATAATTTTCATCGTGATGAAACCTGGATGAAACTATGCGATTTATTGGTTGATGACAAGGTATTTTAAATAAACACAATCGTACTTTTCTGCCCCCTGTGGAGCAGCCCTAAGTATTTTGAACAGTATCCGAATTTGAGGAGATTTTGGTTCCGTTTGTCGCTAAATTTGCCCAAACTACGATCAAACCATATTCTTTAGAAAGAGAAATCTTTGTGAAACGATGTAATCGAATTTGTTTTGGCGTACGACAAGTTTGAGCGGAGATATTTGTCTTTGAAGGCGATGCGGTCGTGCCGGCAGTGATTAGCCTTTTACTGGTATATTATATATAGATGAGCACACACAATATAAGCCACAGAAAATGTTACATCAACCGCTCTAAATGAGCTCATGGAGTAATTAAAAGAATGTAAAGGTATTATACTATCATGTCAACTATATTTTATTGTTAAAAGTCTTAAAATGTATTTATTTGACTAATTTAAGAATGTTTTTAAAATAGTTTTGGTTGACTATAAATTTGTTTATAAAAACCGTTAAAAACCCGCAACACCTGATCATTCATTCTGAGATTGGCCGCCTGTGTACAGACGACAGCGAATCTTGTGATGAGGAACATGATTTTGCCATCTGCCCTTTGCCATCTGCATTTTGCCACCTGTTTTGGAGAAGCGTTTAGAAAAAATATTCCATTAGCAAATTGGTGAGTTCTACAAACAATACTAAGTTACTTTATTATGATTTTCATACAATATTTCCCTGATATTTGCCTTATTATTTATTTCTGTTGTAGGTGTTCGTGTGGGAATTGTGTCGATCAAAATCTGGCGAGTGTTCAGAGTACTGTTGCTGCAAAGAGATTGTGGAAGTAACTGGAAAATTTACTTGGATTGGCAAGAATGTTGAATACATCCTTAATCATCCTGACTTCAATGCTATGACAAAAGAGAAGTGAAGTTGGGCCTCTTCTAAAAAGCAAACATGGAACTAATGTAAGCTCCCATGGAATAAAAAATGGCGCCGATAAAAGGTACATGTGCTTCGGTTGTGCATATTAATTCTGACTAGTAGCGAAAGTAAAACAACTTTACAGGTTCTATAAAGATAAATTTCTATTGTTATAGATTCCTCAGAGCAGTGTCATATCGTCGGCTGTTTGGCTTGATGCATGGGCTGGGAGAACACCAGCCCTTGTCACCATGCATTTACCATCATGTAATGACTGCATGTATTTTGTACTGGTCATGCTGGTATATATCTGGAGAAGAGCAAACGGATAATGATAACTGAAGTCACTATTATGTAAATATTTCATAACATAAAACCCAAAGAAAAGTATTATCACCAAATCTGTAATGTGTATTAATGTTTTACATATTTAAAAATCCAGGATTCATAATTAATTGTGTAAACGTTCTCTGGTTAAAAAGATTTATTTATTACTTATTTATTTATTTAGTAATAAATAAATCATTTTAACAAGAGGACATTTACACAATTAGTTTTACATATTGCCCACTTTGAGATCCCTTGACTGAAATGTAAATCAGGCTTTAAATTCCCAGCAATTCCTAGATTATGAGTGGTTGGGGGAGGGGGTACACTGACTGATGCATAATTCTGTTCATACTTATTATATTTCAACAATATATACAACAACCCTCTTAACTATTTACAATATTTACAAACAATGAAAATATACAGTAAACAGATCAAGTCTGTGGAGCATCGTGTGGACAATGTGATCGCAGGTGACCTTCATTGGTGCCTTGCACTTGCTACATTGTCTGGCTTTTCTCTTTGGCAGTGGGAGATTTCCTATTGATTTCCGCTTTTCTGCCTCCAATAATGCTGTTTTTTCTGCAACTAAAAATAATTCATCAAATTATTATATAAGTTATATCGAAAGAATAATAATGTAATTTGTTGTCTGCTTTGTATATGATAATATTTGTGTTGGTGTTAACAATTGTTCGCCAAAGATGAGGTGATTATCAGGGAATATTCGCGGAGACAAAGTTGAGGTGAATATTCCCCGACAATCACCGAGTCTGAGGCTTGTCAATGGAAAAGCTCAACAGCTTAATGGGTTAAAAAAATTTTTACCGAGACTTTTCTGCATCTGAAGCCGTGTTTACACTACGAGCCTAAGCCTGGCCTAGGTTTGGACTAGATTTTGGTAGTGTCGACTTCGACTGCCACTAGACCATGCACTTCGACCGCCACTAGACCAAGAAATCTGGGCCACCTTTCCTGATGGGCCCAGATTTCCTGGCCTAGGCCAGGCCGAAGTGCATTTACACCACAAAAATCTAGTCCAAAGGTAGGCCAGGCTTAGGCTCGTAGTGTAAACACAGTTTGAGAATTACCTAGCTGGTACCCAACATGGTGTGTTTACACCAGATACTGTACCTGGCTAAAGCCCTGAGACCAATCAAAATAGATCATTATATACACATAACATGAAGTAGTGACTTTGAAGAAGTAAATAAACATAGAAATTGGCTTCAATTGACCTGTATTTAAACTATTAACCACTTGAAGGCAAACTCAATTTAACAACACATTCCAAATACTTTTATGTCTTTCATATTGACATCTACATATTAAACTATGAAAATGTAGCATGACAGCCTTGCCTTACAAAGCTTTTATTTCATGTTGTTTACTTGCCTTTGGTGGCGAACTATTAAATGTCCGAGTGTGAATTCCAAATTTATAGCAACAAATATTACTATTATACATTGTGTAAACGGGTCTTTATAGAGTTATCTGGTTTTTGCCGTGAAGAGTATTGAATATTTAGATTATGTCAAGGATAAATATTTAACAGCTTTAAAATGCCGCAAACGAACAATTTATGCATATATTTACCTGTCTTCTTTCACGAGCTGAAATCGCCTGAACTTGTGGCCCTGAAACAACGCAATCTAGACTAGGTATCGCGCCTTTCTTCAGCCATCTCTTAGTCGTGAATTTTTCCGGTTCTTGTGAATTAAAATCAAGCCGTTGTTCAAAATCTGTGACCTTGAAACGTGTTGAGCAAAGCACCGAAGTGCTTGATGGCTGCCATTGCGGACGATGTCTTTGGACAATACAAGCCCATTTTGCTCAGACAGAACTATCGCTAGGGAAGCGATGCATCCAAATTCCCTCTGTTTTCAAATTGTTTTTGCAACTGACTTTTCCAGGTCCACCTGCAACACAATACTTTCCAAGAGATTTCCCTTTCGCTCGGCTGTTTTGAGTCTCGGCCATAACAAATTGACAAATTCACCTTTGGAATGAACGCGCGAGTACAACCAGTGACGTCACGCCATCAATTTGACCGCGCCGTGAGATGGGACAAACAAAGGTCATAGATGGCAAACTTTGTAGCTTAAAAAATCGACTTTAAAGAATCGCGGGGCGAAAATAAAATACAGCATGATATTCAGCGTAACAGGTGGGGAATTGGTCTGAGCATGCATGCGCGAGCAAAGTGAGCAACACAATTGCGTGGAATACAACGCGTGTTTACAAAAAGGCACAATCGTGTAAATATTGCCAAATGTTTGTACAAAATAAATGACTGTTTTATGTTGAAAATGGACATGATCTAAATTAATCATACAGAATTTTTTAGTGACGTTTTATTTCAGTACCCTGCCATTGTCTCTGGTGGACTGTCCGTGTGCATTCGATCTGAAACAGTCGTACCCTGGTTCCAGAGGTTTATTTTTATTATTTTCTTTGCGAAGGCGAGAGGAAAAATAAACCTCCGGTTGAAAGCGGCAATTGATTCATCGAGCCGCGTCAATCAGTTTGAATTAGGGTCAGATCCTGACTCTGTCTCCTGATTGGATGATTGTATTAAAGCTCTCTGATTGATTCAAATAAAACATCTATACCCAATCAGAGAGCTTTAATACAATCATCCAATCAGGAGACAGTCAGGATCTGACCCTAATTCAAACTGATTGGCGCGGCTCGATGAATCAATTGCCGCTTTCAACCAGAGGTTTATTTTAAACCTCTGGAACCCAGGGTAAAACAGTCGCTACTATGCTGTCGAAAAATTTCGAATGTTTACATGAACATAGAGGCAAGTCATGCATTTTACAACCTCGTAAACTGTAAAACGTAAACTCCAATCTCAATTGTACGCGACACGGGTTGGACGCGCCGTTGGCTGCTCCCGTATATTCATCTATTATTTTAAATGTTTTAACTTTTCAAAGTGGTTATCGATTACTGAATTCGATTCGTTAATAGTAAAGGACAATGTGGTCTTATTCGAGTGAACTATTGATGTCTTTTAATGGTCTATATCGGGCTTTGAGTAATCCAGTGTGGCGGAAGTTAGTGAACTTGAAAATTGCTTCGAACAAGCCTACAAGACGTGGATGTCGTGCTGGTTTTAACAAGGTGAGAAGTATCAAATCGATTATTAGCAGCCGAACCATAGGGAATTTCTATAACACTGGACAATCTATGCGAAATACGACAACTGAATTCGTGTACTACGAACAGTCCACTCAATCAAGCGTTTCCTCTGTTTTGTCACTGCCGTATTATCATAATATGACTAGCGTTCAAAAAGGTGTAAATCTGAAGAATCTTATTTATATTAAATGCCAAAGCCAAAACATTAACCGTGAACAGGGAGTTTCTCTGCAGTTTGTCCCAAGCCTAATGCTGACGAACGTTATGTCTTTGGCTCCTAAGATTGACGAAATTAGTTCCTTTGTTAAGCAAGCGGACTTTGACTTGTTATGTATCACAGAAACGTGGCTACGCAACACTATATCTGACAATATAATCCAAATTCCTGATTACAATGTAGTACGTAAAGACCGTGAAAATAGTTCACATGGCGGAGTTTGTGTCTTTGTCCACCAAAATATTCATTTTAAGCATTTAGTCGAGATGCAGTCTTCCAATTTGGAAGTAATTTGGATCAAAATACGACCAAGACGTCTACCGCGGACAATCTCATGCATTATTGTTGGAACAATCTACCACCCTCCCAATTCTAATAACCATATTATGTCGGAGTATCTCACTGACTGTCTTTCCTCTTTCGAAGGACATTTTCCCAACTGTGGTATCATATTGACAGGCGACTTCAATCATTTTAACACCTCACCTATTGTACGACAATTTAAGCTTAAACAGTTAATTAATTTTCCAACTCGGGGGAATAACACTCTAGATAAAATCCTTACAAATTTGCACTCCTTTTATAAAGATGCAAATCGCCTTTCACCGTTCGGACTTTCGGATCACTGCACAATTACAATTCTCCCAAAAGAAAGAATTAAAACCAAGTCAGAGCGCATTAAAGTTTCAGTACGAGATCTAAGACCAAGCAAAAAGGATCAACTTGGCCGTTTTCTTTCAGGAGTCGATTGGTCAGTTATATCAACAGATTCAGTCGACAACCAAGCTGCTTTATTTAATGATTTGATTCAGCTTGGACTTGACAATATCATGCCTGAGAAAACACGAGTAATTCATCAGAACGATGTTCCATGGATGACAAATCATCTGAAAGAGTTAATTGTCAAACGCCAAGCAGCCTGGGCACAAGGAAATCAAACACTTTTCAAGTTTTATCGTAACCGGGTCAATAACTATCGAAAGCGGTGTAGGCAAGGTTATTATAATTCTAAAATACGTCATTTAAAGGACAGTAAACCAAAAAGGTGGTGGAACGAAGTTAAACGCATTAGTGGTCACACCCCAATGTCTGATAACAAAGATATATTATCCATCCTTGCACTAGAAAATATTAATATTAACGATTTTTCCCATGATGAAATTGCAAACATTATAAATGATTGTTTTTTGGATCCACAGCAATCATATGTGCCACTTGATGAGTCTGATAAAATCCAGTATGCAGGGCCAGCATCTAACTGTGACATATTACGAGTAGATGAATTTGATGTATTTATGAAACTGAAATCCCTTAACGCAAGTAAATCTCCTTGCCCGGATGGACTCCAACCATGGCTACTGAGAGAGTTTGCAGAAATACTGGCCTATCCAATTTGCCAAATTATAAATAATTCATTTCAACAAGGAAAATTACCACTAGGTTGGAAACAGTCAAACATCTCTCCCATTCCCAAAGCAAGTCAAATTACAGATATTAATAAACACCTTCGCCCAATATCACTAACGCCAATAATTTCGAAGGTGGCTGAGGATTTTGTTATTGAGAGGCAATTTAAACCGGCCGTTTTGGAAATAATTGACAAAAATCAATATGGGGTAGTACCAAGATCTTCAACTACAATGGCTTTAATATCTATGATGCACCACTGGTTACAAGCCACTGACCAACCTGGAAATCTAGTTCGCACAATCCTGTTTGATTTCAGAAAGACATTTGATCTTATAGACCATAAACGACTCTCTGGCAAAATTAAACAACTTAACCTCCCCGCTCCCACAACAAATTGGATCTTGGATTTTCTTACTGGCCGTAAACAGCGGGTAAAATTAACGAGCAACTGTTTTTCCCAATGGAGTGAAATTCGCGCGGGTGTCCCCCAGGGTACCAAACTTGGACCCTGGTTATATGTTCTAATGATAAATGACCTGACAACATCTCATAGCGATCCTTGGAAATTTGTCGATGACACAACTTTTTTGGAAATTCTTAAAAAAGGTCAGCGTAGTGTAATTCAGTTGGGAGTTAATGAGGTTCAAAACTGGACTGAAACCAACCTGGCCCAACTAAATGAAGACAAATGCAAAGAGCTTAGGATTGATTTTTCTCGGAATAGTAACACCAGTAACACGCTTGTCCCGATATTAGTCAACGGCAAAGAACTTGAAATAGTGAATAATGCTAAAATCCTTGGGCTTACGATTAGCAGTGATCTAAAATGGAGAGTACACGTAGAGACAATCGTTTCTAAAGCCACCAAGAGATTATATCTGATAACACAACTTAAACGAGCAAAGGTCCCGATTGAAGATATTATACTAATTTACTGCGCATGTATCCGGTCGATCTTGGGATACGCATCACCAGTGTTCCATAACCCGTTGCCGAAATATCTAAATAACGAGATTGAGAGGGTACAAAAGCGTTTCCTGAGAAGAATATATCCGAACCTCTCTTATGAGGACGCTATTAAAACCTCGAAGTTAGATTTATTGTTTGATCGTAGAACAGCTGCTTGCCTCAAACTTTTTGAAGAGGCCCAAATGACAGATCATAAATTACATTCACTAGTTCCGGAGAAAAAAGTTTGTTCGTATTCCCTAAGACAATGTAGCAAATTCCATCTACCTCGAATTCGAACTGATCGGTATAAGAACTCATTCATAATCGCTAATAGTCTTCAACAGTAATTTTAAATTTTTTAAATTGTATTATAATCATATATCTAATCCAATTTTTATTACTTGTTATGTACATATTATTAGGTTATTTAGTCACTGTACATCGTATATAATTCAGTTGTTTTATTGTAACTGCAAATTACGATTATTAAAATCAATCAATCAATCAATCAATGAGCCCCTATTTTTACGCTTATACCTAAGACATCAAATAAAAGTACATGAAACAGACAACATTTTTAGAAAGTTTTATCGTGAGGCCACGGCCAGTTTTTAAAATATCTTTATTTCTGTTCCGGTCATCACCAAAATTACACTAAAGCCGGGCTTGAATATACAACAAATTTTGAATCTCATCAAGTACAAAAATATTTAACGTGTTACCAAAATATGCTCGTGAAATCGAAATTAATAGCTAAATTTTCAAACTAGACCCTTCTCGAAGCGGTTTTCATGAAGGAAGTTCACATTTCGGCCTTTGATTCTTGGCAAAAATTTGACAACAACACGTGCGAAGCAACTGGGTCTCAAAGACTCAGCTAAAACATTGTGAGCCCCTATTTTCCTGACGATATGTTTGATACCTACAAACACCTAAAAGTTTTTTCTTTTCATTTGCCTATATTTGAAATTGAGGCCACAGGCTATTTTTGAGAAAATACAGTTCAAAGTCAAGCTATTTTTACATATTTTCAAAATTTGTCAAATTTCGCGAGCTTGTATTTTGAACTTAGACAGCTGAAGTTACATTAAGAAACATAGGATGGAAAATTTGAGGCATATAAAGTTAATTTCAACTTACATTTGATTCTCATATCACGTGTTTCTTCGTTTATTACGGTTTTAAACAAGCCACAGATCGACGTATACGGTATTTACTCCCATGTTCACGTCGCCATATTAACTTCTTCCAATCACTCGATTACAAAACAATTCATCCCAAACCAAAGAACTCATAGTCGACTTTTAAAAGAATAACCGTTAATTTGTAAATTGTTGAATGGAAAGCAAAAAATCGTCACCTAAAACAGCTTCTTGCTAACTTTCTGCTTTGTTTTGAATGTAAACGCAATGAGCTTTGTTTCTGCCCGCGATTTTTTGGTCAGCGACGACAAATTTCCTACCTGTTATTCAGCGTACTTTAAACTATAAAATCAGCACAATTTCAGAAAAAAATTTCAGCCGTTTCATAAGCACTTTAAAGTTTGCTGATCTTGAATTATGCATAATTGATTTTCCTAGTTAGTGTTTTCAATTAAAAGGGCTGAAAAGCGCCTTAAAAACCAAATTAAAAAGACTGAGCAGTGCCTTTACGTTTTCCTGGACAAAAGTGCATCTTTTTAATAAGCAAAAATTTGAACGGCAGCAAAAGTTCATGAACATTAATTTTTAAACATCCAAAGCAAATTTACCCTCTATTTTTGTTTCATTCCAAGCAAAATTGCTTGAAAACTCATTGCCTGATAGGATTTTCTAAATATATGTTTTTAAATTGAAGTTTTGTTTATCCCACTCCTTATTAAACAACCATATATTTGAGGTCAGTAAAAGCCCACACAGTATTTCCCCATGTATACACAATAACACGACTTTAGACTTCGCTAACGCTTTCCTTTCCCGGAGTGTAAATAGCCGAGCAGAATTAATATCATCGCCTCAAGCTTACGGCTGGACCAGCGCCGTTGGATCGGGGATAACAAGTTTTAAGCTCGATATTCCTAATGTTGCTACTAGTAAGTAAGATATTGAAGTAATAAACTTCAACTTGACACAAGGTGGATGCACTGCGTCATATCACTCTCTATGTAAATAGATCTAAGAACTTTTTCTGTCTTTTCTTTTTTATTACTGTCAGTGGTAACTGGAGTTTTATTAATGTATTCTCAGGGGCGCCGGAGCCACGGGGGCAGCGGGGGCAAAATATAGAATTTTATTCGAAAACTATTTATATTTTCATGATTCTAGAGTATGATAAATTATCAAGACACGACAATCAAGCTTTGCAAGAACGTAAAATGAAAAAAACGTAAATAAACTGTTTGTATAATAAAAGAGGGCTCGATCCTTTGTGCACATACGCAGATCGGACTGTACAGCATCTTTATGTCCCAATCAATTCCATGGGTGTCCAACCGCATCCCCTTGTCGGGCATTTGTCATTTTGGCGAAAAAACGTTACAAATGCCCCACCATGCGGTCCAAATAATGCAACAAAATCCCCACCCCTGGCCACTTATATTGACGGAAATATCCCACCCTTGGGAGCAATTAAATCAAAACAGATTTATTTTTATATGTTTTTTAAATATGTTTTTGATCGGATCTGAACATGAACCTGTCGTTGTCAGGAGCAACTTGTCAAAGCCAAAGCCAAAACGCCAGGCATAAAAGATTTTATTACAAAGCTTCTCTCAGTTCTCTGCTACCATATTCATGAAAAAGCATGTACATTTTTACTGAAACTATTCGTCTTTTTGTGTGTTTCTTGGCAGTTTTCTCGAGTTTTCGCATTCGTGTTTTATATTTTTTAACTTTTCAATTTTTGTCAGCCTCGCTTTGAAAATACACAACTGCACTGATCTCAAATTAGTTCGCAAGCAACACTGGAATTTTAATCAAGACCTCGGGCACAGTTTTTCTCATCCGGACCTCGCAGCCGATAAATAACATATATATCTGTATTTAAAATTGATTCTGTAGCCATTTTGTTTCAAACGTTTTTATTAAATTGAAATATTGAAGTCTCAAAACTTAATGTAACAATATCAAAAGGCGGAAGTATAAATTAGTCAATGTATCAACACTATGGACAAGAATGAAAGTGTGTATTATCATAGTCCATACTCAATAGAAATCAGGGCTATGCAACTCATTGTCCTATGTTATTGTTCACGTTATGCATATTTATGTAACTTCAGGGCATTGTATAGTCTGTATAATAAAGCTGTCATCCAATAGCAACAATTGGACTGTATTAATAGTTGCTTCAACGTCACGCGTTGGGTCGCTTCGAATGAAAAATGCGCCATGATTAGTTCGCACTATGGTAAATGTGCGTACTACTAATACGGTTAGATAGCGAAACAAGCGACAAATATTCGACTTTTTAGTCTCGAGCAAATTCCCCACTACGGGGCTAACATGCATAAAGCAAATTGCCGACCCTGGGAATAAGTACAGTTGATAATGCCCGACAAACGTCCGTGGGGGGGGGGGACACCCATGGAATTAGCCTTTCTCAAGGCGCCATTTTTGGGCGGCATTTCAGCTGAAATCCAGGAGATCAGTCCACATAACAGCGACGTTTTATAATTTTTTGGACAACTGGTGGTAAATTTGCTTTGTAAAAGGTTATTTTATTTTGAAAAATTCCTTTTCACATTGTTTTAATTGTCTGCATTGGCAAACGAGAATTAGATGCCACCCAAAAATGGCGGATATTCGTCATCGTGAGAAAGACTAATTGATTGAGACTTTAAGCAATCTTTGCTTAATTTTTAACCAGTTGTAGTAAAATTAATGCTAAATCAAGCAATAT